AAAAAAAAAAAAAAACCCTTTTTTTTTTTTTTTTTTTTTTTTTTTTTTTTTTTTAATCCAAGTTATACTCTATCCGTATCCTATTGGAAGGTCATATTTTAATGTGCCCAAACACTTGAACTCCCACTTTCAACACACACACGCAGAGGAACATGCTTCCAAAACAACATTTCTTATACTCACCAGCTGAGCTCCTGACCAAATCCCACAGTCAGGCCCCTGGGCCACCATCACCATGTCAAGAGGCAACACCTGTAACAAGTAGCCCATCTGCCTCCACCTACCCATGCGCCCATAGATTATCGACTTGCAGCTCAAGGAAATAACAAGGCCCTTTTCCTTATCATTTCCAAGATAGCTTCATCACTAAGCTGTAAATAAGGCACCTTGTAGACCACGAGTAAGTTCAGGGGAAAAGAATGAATATCTCAAGAAAAGCACTAGATAATACAAATAATAGACAGTACTTTCTTTACCAAAAACTCATCTTCACCATGCCCTCCATGCCCTCAGGTGGGCAGCACATTAACAACCACCTTTTCACTGATGCACTGCAGCAAAAACCCTTTAGATACCCAGGGAACAAGAGGTCACTTATGATTCTCCGTTGGGCTGATCATAGATCTCTCCAAAGGGAGAGATGATTTGCAGTAGACAATGCCCCATGCTAAACTGCCTGCAGTCAATAGATAATTGGTAATGATGAACTAATTCAGCTGTTGACTGGTTTGTCATGAGCCACAGAAGCCAAATTTCCCTCTCTCTCCTCATTTAATACCAGACTTACCCTCTCCTCTTACTCCATTTCATGCCACAGATGGATCTCTGCAGGTTGCCCAGAGAGCTCATCCTGCCAGCTGTCTTCATTTGACTTTTTCCCCCTACGTTTGGCAGAGCAACATATGGTCAGGAAGGAAGTGGAGATGAGATCTCAGGTTCTGCAGGTGAGATGCCAATTCAGTAATTACCCATGGATTTGTTTATATGGGCCCTGAGAGGGTGCATGTAAACTAAAGGCAGGCATGCTCTTCCCATGGGCAATCTGACACTTTTTTTTTTTTTTTTTTTTTTTTTTGGTTGTTGTTGTTGTTGTTTCTTTGCAGCAATTATTACACTTCACAGCCAAGAACGCATGGATGCCATGAGGTGGTGTCAGCAGCAGTTTTTCAGCTACAGTTGTAATTCTCTGCTGGATGTAAACATGGAGGTACCTCTGACTGTATCAGTCCTCTCTAGTCATGATCTTAGCTTTCTTCTTTCTTTAGCAGAAATTGATCACAGAACGGTGGGGGTTGGAAGGGACCTCTAGAGATCATCTAGCCCAACCCCCCTGCTCCAACAGGGACACCCAGAGCACGTGGCACAGGGTGGCATCCAGGCAGGGTTTGAAGATCTCCAGAGAAGGAGACTCCACAACCTCTCTGGGCAGCCTGTTCTAGGGCTCTGTCACCCTCCCAGGAAAGAAGTTCTTCCTCACATGGAGATGGAACTTCCTGTGTTTCAACTTGTACCCATTACCCATTGTCCTGTCACTGGTCACCACCAAGAAGAGTTTGGCCCCATCCTCTCTACATTCTCCTCTCAGGTATTTATACATATTGATCAGATCCCCTCTCACTCTTCTCCAGGCTAAACAGGCCCAGCTTAGTCTTTCCTCATAAAATAGACACTCCAGTCCCTTAATCATCTTTGTCGCTCTCCACTGGACCCTCTCTAGAAGCTCCACGTCCCTCTTGTACTGGGGAGCCCAGAACTGCACGCAATATTCCAGGTGCGGCCTCACCAGAGCTGAGGAGAGGGGCAGGATCCCCTCCCTTGACCTGCTGGCAATGCTCCTCCTCATGCAGGGCAGGATCCCATTGGCCTTCTTGGCCCCAAGGGCACATCGCTGCCTCACGGTTAACCTGTTGTCAACCAGGACTCCCAAACTTCCCAACTATCCAACTTGATATTTGATAGTCATTGCTCACATGCCCCAAATGGGCACATTGGATCCACCATTGCCTATTCTCTGTGTGCCAGTGCTGAAACAGTGGTTTCAGCACTCAGGAGGCTGATTTTTTGAGCATGTTATTCTTATTATAGTGTCTGACAGGGTCAACTTTTGCTTGTATACAGCAATATGAAGGCCGCACATCAGAAGGAAGTGGGTGTTTACAGCAAGGCTCATGTTTGTGAGTTGAAAACTGAAGTCTTCTCTGGGCTTCTTGACTGGTTTTGTTACTCTTCTCTATTTTTTGCTCTTTTTTTTTTTTCTTCCTTTGATCCTCTGTGAAATTACAATACAGTAATCTAACTCACAAAGGTGTTGGAAGGTTCAGTTATCTGCATGCCAAACCTTGGGACAGACAAGAGTTTCAATTTGTGATGTTTTAGCCTTATCATGGTAGCTCCAGGACAGGCAGAGACCATTTTCTTGCTAAGCCTCACTCGAGGCCTCTTTATTCTACAAAAATTAATCTATGGTGACTACATCATGGGAACAACTGTGCTGTGGCAGCATGAGTCTGCTCTTCTGATGAGTCATTTACGTATGTGTTAAAAAGACTGAAACCTGCATATATCCGTGTCACTGAACGAGGGAGGTGAGAGCGTTCTGTGGTTATAAACACGCACCCAAAGTCAGCAAGGCAAAGAAAGCCAATACTGAACAGTGTGTCAAAGAAATGGTGCTTCCAGCACAGGTATAGGTCTCTAAGAATGGCAGTTATCAGGCTAGTTTCATCAGAGATGCCCAAGGATTTGCATAAACAGGAAATCTAGTAGGGGAGGTGAGAATTTTAGTTAATGTATTTATTGATGTGGCTCTTTACATGAGCATTTTGCTTTGCCACAAACTGCTTTGGAAACATTCAGGATATTTAAAAAAACATGCAAAATAAATTTAAAAAGCTGGAGTCAGAACCCACAACAGCAGGAACACGATCGGGCTTAGCCACATGGTTATGACCATGAAAGTGTAACAGGTCAAGCTTTCTTGTATAGAGAACTAGAGCTCTTGGTATAAACTCTGCTTGTGCAAGCATACAAATCACATTACCATTAGGAAATGTGGATGATACCAAACTGGGAGGAGTGGCCGACATTCCAGAGGGCTGTGCTGCCATTCAGAGAGACCTGGACAGGATGGAGACTTGGGCAGAGAGGAACTTCATGAGGTTGAACAAGGACAAGAGCAGGGCCCTGCACCTGGGAAGGAATAACCCCAGACACCAGGACAGATTAGAGGTTGACCTGCTGGAAAGCAGCTCCGCAGAGAGGGATTTGGGAGTCCTGGTTGACAACAAGTTAACCATGAGGCAGCAGTGTGCCCTCATGGCCAAGAAGGCCAATGGGATCCTGCCCTGCATGAGGAGGAGCGTTGCCAGCAGGTGGAGGGAGGGGATCCTGCCCCTCTCCTCAGCTCTGGTGAGGCCGCACCTGGAGTACTGAGTGCAGTTCTGGGCTCCACAGTACAAGAGGGATGTGGAGCTTCTAGAGAGGGTCCAGCAGAGAGCCACGAAGATGATTAAGGGACTGGAGTGTCTATTTTATGAGGAAAGACTAAGCGAGCTGGGCCTGTTTAGCCTGGAGAAGAGTGAGAGGGGATCTGATCAATATGTATAAATACCTGAGGGGAGAATGTAAAGAAGATGGGGCCAAACTCTTCTTGGTGGTGACCAGTGACAGGACAACAGGTAATGGGTACAAGCTGAAACACAGGAAGTTCCACCTCCATGTGAGGAAGAACTTCTTTCCTGGGAGGGTGACAGAGCCCTGGAACAGGCTGCCCAGAGAGGTTGTGGAATCTCCTTCTCTGGAGATCTTCAAACCCTGCCTGGATGCCACCCTGTGCCACGTGCTCTAGGTATCTCTGCTGGAGCAGGGGGGTTGGACTAGATGATATCTAGAGGTCCCTTCCAACCCCGATCATTCTGTCATTTGATGAAAATCAAAGTTTTTACTCAGTGGGAGCTCTGGGAAGGGAAATGTTCTGTTCTTTAAATTCAGTGTTATCAGTTAATCATGTAATTGTTTCCTAGGCTGTTCAAATTTTAGAATTTGACAAATGACATATTCAACACAAATGGAAAAAACTTTTAACTATGAGGAAAGATCCCCTGGAACCTTCTCTTCTTCCTCTCAGAGGTAGTGAAAAGCACAGAAAAATTCTGTGAATTACAAGTTTCCCTTGTAAAAGATGGACTCGGGACAAACACCTACCTACTGATAATAAAAAATGACTAAGTGAGAGCAGTCAAAGAAATAGAGTGGTTTGTTCATACTGCCTATTGCTTCCACTTACATGTGAATATGATCCATGAGCAGATGTCTGTACCAAAGTGTCTGGAGGGCACTGGCTGATGTCCTTGCAAGGTCAGTCTCACCTATGGGAAGCTGTGGAGATCAGGGATTCCCAACAGCTGAGGAACGCAAAATCAGTCACCTTCAAAAAAGAAAGAACAGTCCAGACAACTAAAGGAGGCTGTTTTTATGAAAGCACTTCTTATGTTCAAGTAGAACTTCCAAGAACCTCCCCTGGCCATTGTTACAAGAGTAGCTCTGCAGTGACATCAGCCACCAAACAGCCACAAATGGATCCCATGAGGTCCTCTGGGCTTCTGTATGTCCACTTTCTCCTGTATTCCTTAACTTGCTCCTCCTTTGCTCCATGGGTCCAGGCCTGAGGATTTCTGAAGGCTGGTCTTATCAGAGAAGACTGAGACAGAGACAACATGCAGTACCTCAGATCTCACTAGATCCTCTGCCCCATTCAGCAGCAGCCCCTTTGCATGTTTTTTTTTTTTTTCCCTCCAGCTGATAAACCTTCAGAAATCCCTGTTGCCCTCTTGCCCGATTAAATTCCAGGCAGGCTTTGGCTTTCCTAACCCCATCCCCACATCCTCAAAGAGGGATGTGCACTCCCTCCAGCTCCTCCGACCCTTTCCATCGCTCACGTGCCTCACAGCAGCCTTCAAATACTCATGAGAGGCTGCTCAGATGGAGACAGAGCCTTCAGCGGTGCCCAGGAGGATGAAGGGCAATGGGTGTCAGTTGAAGCAAGAGGTTGGTCTAAAGCCCCCAATATTCTGATTCACAAACTACTTTTAAAGCAGTAACTCCATTACCTGAGTTGGATTTTTGTATACATGGACGGTGGCAGAGTTTGTAGCAACAGGCTGCACATTCCACTCAGTATGTCAAGCAAGAGCAAGTCCATGTGGGCAACAGCAACCCCAGGGCAGCGTGAGACTGACCCTCACTGCCACGTACCCCTGTCAGCAACAGCCACTGGGGACAAGGTCTCAACAGGGGGCAGCCAAGGACTCTGAACAGAGGGTGACAGCAGCGAACGTAGCCCAGCAGCCACCAAGTCTTCTTTGTGCCATACCCAGGGTGTGCTCGGACCCTCTGAATTTAACAAGCCCATAATATAAAAGACCAGATTGAGTTTTTAATAGGCCATTTTTATTGAGAGTTAGGATCATAATGATTCCCCATGGTGTGCGTGATGCACCATGAAAACAAAGAAAGAAGATTGCTTTAGTAAATACACACTGGTTAAGCAATGCTACTTTTTGGCAAAGTGCTATATTTTGTCATTTTTCAGCTTGTATTAAACTATTAAAAGAACCAGACATTCTTCAGTATCAAAAGAACTGCTACAAATAGAGAAGTGGCTCTGGAAAGAAGCTGCCATATATGCATAGTCTGAATGTACAGTATTAATCATAACTGAAATGTCCCTTTTGGATCTTCAAGTTTGTTGTGTAAAGTTATACCTAGAAGGCACAGTTTTGTTTAAAATGCAAGTCTGTCCATTGACCAACATGTATGAAAATACAGTTTCAGCAAGATTCATGAGTATCAATCAGCATCTGAGACAGTGCAAGGCCTCCACTTTTACAAGAGAAAAAAGTCCAAACACATCATAATATAATTCAAAACCATATAAAAAGCCACACAGTTCACTATCAAAACAGAAAACCAAAACAAATCTAACTGCCCAACAGCTCCAGGCACAAAATGGGGCTAGACCAACATAAATAGGCAAAACAAATTAACAAAAAGCCATTGATGCAGTACTCTATCTCACATAGTAATACAGCTTCCAATATTACAAATTGAGAAGCACAGCTTTGTGCAACAAAACAGTTTATATCCTGAAAGATATAGGCTTTCATCACCAGAAAGTTATCTAGTAATGTAGTACAAAAAAATCAGTATCTCCCAATTCTAGGAGCAGTCTAAAGTTACATTTACTTGCCTACTTAAAAATAATAATAAACAAACCCAACACACAGACCAAGACTCTCATTCTACTACCTGGGAGACTTTATACTCTTGACTCCATCTCTCCATTAAAAGAGAAAGGATTTTTTGCTCCTTCCAATATAGCGCAGTGGAAAGTCCTTCTTCCTTCATTTAACTTTAAGAAAATTAAAGCTGAAGGAGAGTAGTTGCTTAGATATAAAAAGAGAAAACAGCATTTTTCCTGAGCTAGAAAGCTGGCAGTGAGGAGAAGGAAATATAAATTAGACAAAGAGTTGGAGTGATACAGGTAGATAATCTGAGGCAAGTAAGAGTATTTTTGTCAGTGACTGGACAAGCGCCCGGTGAAGCTACAGCTGTTGGCAGAGTATTTGGACCGTGGCCCTGCTGTATGAACACAGGCACTGCTGACAAGTGGATTAACAAACCTCAGCATAACTGGCTGGGTTTTCTCTCACTGTCCACACGCAAGTCTACGATCACCATGGAGCCAGGAAGGCTCTGCTTGGTCTTGCAACGCACCCTGACAGGAGTCAAGTGGGTAACAATCCCCCCTAGCCCAGGAGGGCACCACTTCTGCAGCGGAACGAAGGTTGCAAGTGCCATTCTCTGTACACCACATACGTGCCACAGTGATGCCATGTGCACTATGTTCCAAGCTGACTATGGGAACCACACCTGAATTGCTCAAATTTTGCTTCTGTGAAATCAAAACATTTGGCCAAATTGAGAAACATACAGTAGGTCTAGAATTATTCACATTAACCATCTTACCTAATTTCAAAGGCTTCCCACCTGACCTCCTACACCAGCTTCTGTGTAAGAGCTACTGGAAGACATGGCTGAATATAGTATTAATGCATTAGCACTCTAGGAACTAAATGCAGGAAAATAGTGAGTCACGTGAAGCACAGAGAGGGGAATAAGAGCAAATGTTCCATTTTTTCCCCCTTTCTTCTGTGACTGCTTCCTCTCTTCTATAATCATTTAACCCAAACCCTGAGTTGATCTGTCAGGGTCCAATGTATCATGTGGCTGCACTAAACACTACAACTTTACCTTCTGAGCCTGCTTCAAGGAACATGTGGAGAAAATATTCGATAGTTTTGAATAGCTCTTCCTTCCTATTGGCCTACAGCACTTGTATCCAGTCTGCCTCCCCAGATGCCTGAGATTGAATAGGAAAACCACCATGCTGATATACCTGAGGTTTCTATATACCCTGCTGCTGCTGCAGTTAGTCCTCTAGGGCTGGTTTTCAGAGTGCTTTTCCCTGCCACAGGCTGCCCAGGAGCTGTTAACTCAGCATTATTTTAGCTGAGAGAATTAGGAGAACTTCTGATAAATTCTTTCTTCTAGTGATTTTTGATTAATTCTCAACCTGTAGGTAAGAGACAGCCTAACAGCAGTTAGCAGCTCAGAAGTAGCCATCCATCAGCTTAACTTCTTTAAGAAGGAACAGCTGACCCATCCCTTTTTCCCTTAGATAGACTAGAGATTGACCACAACAGGTTAGTTTGTTCTTTTTTTTCCCTAAATCTTTTTCCAAGGATAGAATAGAGTGGAAAAAAAATAGCAAGACATTAGAGAAAAAAAGAGAACTCAAACTACTGGATAAAATTTGGCTCTACATTATATGTCTACACTTACCCCATAGGTCTACTTCTCCTTTCACTCCACTGTGAGGTACTACATCTGTAACACCAGTGTCATGCTGTACTGCAGAAATATTGGGGGCATTTAACCCTTTTCTGATACCCAGATAAAGTATCTGACACCTACTGACTCCGCTCTTAGCGCAAGCAGGTACCAGGCCACGTAGATCAGATGTTCTTCTTGCAAGAGTGCAGCACAGCAAGGTAATATCCATTGGCAGCTATGGTTTTTTGTTAGAGTGTAATCATGTATGCTGAATGTAAATATGCAAGCTGTCAAGTTCTGGTCATTAAAGCATACAGCTAACCTCAAATTTTCTAACTCCATTTTGATTAATGCAGAAGTGTAACCGATTTTTCCACCAGTTAAAAGTTTCTTTAGAATACCAACTAAAAATCCATCTACACATCATAGTTTATAAAAACATAACACAAACTATTGTACTGATAGGCTTCCAGGACACTGATACTTAACATCACCATTTAGGACTCACATGTTTGGAGATGCACGTGTCATTTCAAACAGGCATAATGCTAGTAATGATGGTGGCTGAGGAACTGATGATCAGCTTCAGATTGACCACACTTATTATCTATGCATGGAAACAAGAGCAACCTAGTAAAAACACAAAAATAAGATTAAAACCATGAGAGCCCTCAGTAATTGAACTGGCGCTGGCAAGGCTGGTGAACAAAGAGTCCGTGGTGCCGGAGCCGCCGGGAGGCGCCGTCCCTGGTGAGGTTCTGGCGCCGGAGACCGTTCCTGGTGGGACAGAGTCTTTCATTACGTTCCTTTATCCAGCAGGTAGGGCGAAAGCTCTTGTTTTTTTCCAGAAAAATTGAACGAGTAGTAAGAGTTGCCACGTAGCAGTGAACATGCTGTCCCATTTCATTTCGGGCCTCCATTCTAAAACATAGTAAGCATAAATCAGTCTTTTTGGAAGAGATATCAAAGTTATAAAGAGGGCATGAGAACATTAATGGTGACATTCAGCATTTCAAAAGGGAACCCTTATGCTACAACACTGGACAAAGATTTGGGCTGAATGTTAAGCCAAATTAAAAAAAAACAAAAACAAAAAACACACACATGCTGATGAGCAATGCTTGTTTTTGCTAACTCACCTTTTCCTCTCAAGGGCAATGCAGTAACCCATGCTATGCCCATGAGCCCATACTATGCTACTGTGCCCTTTCATTTGCCACCCCTCCAGCCCCAAAGTGCAACACGCACAAGTCAGAGGCAGTATCACACTGACTGGTCCTTGGAACACCTGGATTTATTCACTATACAATGTCTGGTTTAAAAGATCACCTTGGACATAAGTTACTCAGACTGAAAACAGGAAAGGAGCTAGCAAAGATACTTGTTTGGATTGGTAGCCATGCAAGTAAATCCAAATCACATTCATATGCGAGTAGGAGAGACAAAGCAGTTATGACACCCTGGAAATAGCTTAGAAGGAACTTTCCTCAACCAGACCTCTGATTTCATGAGCAAAGAGTCAGCAGATTTGGTAAATCCCTACTCCATCATGCACTAGTCAAGAGGGCAGCCAATGCAAGCAGGGACTGACACGTTGAGAAAGGATGTCCCTACTTCACTGAACAATCACTGGTGCTTCCTGAAGCTTCCAAAGTGAAGATAAAAATAGCTTGGCAGATTTAAAAATAAAGCAAACCCCAAGTGTGTGTGCCACATTAATCATGTGGCAGAGAAGTTATTTCTTCCTCTCCCCAGCCGCCAGGGGACAGCTACTAGTCTGCACCTGATGCCAAGAAAGGAGGGCGGCAAGAGCTGGAGCTTGCTCAAGCATGAGCAAGAGCCCTCTTGGGAAGTCTGTTCTTCAGCACTAAGGTAACTGCTACCAAAGGACAGCAGCTTTTGCCTGGTTTAACTTGCATTTGTTGTTTAAGGTGTCTGTGCTCTAGTGAAAAGGGCATGAGAGGAGCCTGGCCTGTCATGGCCCTGTCCATTCCCTCAACCTTGCTCCCAAGAAGGGGCCGGGGGACACACACATCACTGGCACAATGAGAGGAGCCTGGCCTGTCATGGCCCCGTCCATCCTCTCAATCTTGCTCCCAAGAAGGGGTCGGGAGCAAGGTCCTCTGCCCCCCACTCTGGGCCATGCTGCACTGGAAAGTGGCCATGCTGCAGGGGACACTCCTTCTCAGTAGGAAGCTTTGCTCCTAGAAAACACTGCTCCTTTCCCTCTTTGCGTCCCCCATCTTTCAAATATCAAAATTGTTTTTACTGCCCTGGGTGGCTGCAGTTGAAAGGACCAAGATGTACAGGACGAGAGGAGCCATGCATGACACACTAGCTTTCCTGTTTGTTCAGACAGTGGCTTAGACTTAACATGGGAAATATGAAACAAGAAACAGAGGGGAACAAGTTAGCCCAAATCAATTTGCAAGCGGTCTTTTCCTACACAAATTACAGTAGCTCAGCTTACATGGAGCTTACATTGTCTCTACAGATATAGAGCTACTGTTTTCTAGATATGGCAATTACTATTTAATACACTCAGCTGGAGCTCCCACTGAGGCATTACTAAGGAATTCTGTAAAGCGCTAGGAAGCCTCAACATCTCCTGCTGTTAGGATGGGCATTTCCTGAACATGCCTTTGCTTCATGTCATTAAGCTCATGAGGATCAAGTGCCAATACAGCACTGTGGTTTGTTATGGAACAAACATGGCTAACTGGAGGAGAGGGGAAGTTTAGGCAACATCCTTTTGCTCTGAAAGGGGTTTTACAGGGAGCAAATAGAGACTTCTTCCATAAAAGACGAAAAATTAGTTGATCCAGGATACTTCAGCCTTTTCCCTTTGCTATGAAATATTCATCCAGCACTTGCTTGTAAACCAATACTTTTTACTTGCCATCTCTAACATGAAAGCTGGGACAGCAGAGAAGTTGCTAGAAGGCTGTGGACTCCTCTGAAACACAGCATCTGGTACCCTAGTTGTTGCTCCTGGGGGCCTGGCACTAGTGAACCCCAGGCACTGGAGAGCAGTGCTGATTAGCCTTTATCAATGCGGTCAAAATGACCCTTTAGAGGGGCTAGGTCTAAAGCTGTTGCTATTATGCACTGACATGCCCCCAGCATCTATTTTGCTAAAAAGCAGTGGCAGTGCCCTGCTAGTTGAAGAGACTGCAAGAAAAATTAAAGGATTCAGATATCCCATTTAATTTTAAGCAATTCTCCTGCATTTAGCATTTTTGGTTTGTTAAAGCAGACATAGTTAGGCTTGATATAGTAACATCATTTGGCACAAAGGTTAGTCCTAAAACCAGTATTGTTTTGGCATAGAAGGCTCTAAAGGAAGCAGTATTGCTAGCAGACTAATCAAACAGGTCCCAAAACAGTAGTACTTACTGTGCCAGTGTGCCTTAAGCAGCTTTTCTTGGCCCTACAATGTTAAATGGCCAACCATTAAACCACTAGAGATTTTATACAGCTTTAGAAACTTTATGCATTATCAGTGTCATTTATTTTCCCTGTTTCTCTACTTTACAGCAGCTTTAGACTTAAAACTATACCCACTTTTGCCACCCAAATCAACTCTCACACAGAAAGCTGGAACCCCGGAGAAGCAACACCACCACCAAACTCAGCAGGA